AGAACTTCCTAAACACAAAGCTATATTTGAGGTGAACCGAGTAATTTTTCTAGGCCTCGTAAATTACTCATTTAATTCATGGTGTTCCTATGTTGCATTTCAAGTTGGACTCGGTTGGAAGAAATAAGGAGGTATTCGTTTTTGGTATCAATAAAATTTGGTGGGTGGCAACCCCTACTGAAGTGGCGCCCCTTCTGCTCCGGAAGCTGCAACAGCCACAGGCAGCAGCAACAGCCGCCGGCAGCAGCAACAGCCACCGGCAGCAGGAACAGCCGCAGGCAGTTAGGTTATTTAACCTCAACCAAATTCCAAGTTACCTCGGTGAGTCCGTTCCGGGCACGTACAACCCGAGCAGCGCAGCGTCGCGACCCGGACCGTGCTCCTTCACCACGCGGCCTCTCCCACGTCGCGGTCCACAGTAGCCAAACCAAGGCGTGGTACCGATCTCCGGTCCGTCAACTCCACACCTGCAACACACAAATACTTATTAATCTAAGAATCTGTAATTTGTTAGTTGTACTTACCTTTGTTGTCAAATTGATGCGGATTTACCTGCGTCCGTCCTTCTCGCCCCCCGTTAGGTTCGGCAAATTTGGTCGCGGGAATCCCTAAAAGTGAGGGAAACACTCAGGTCCATCGGAATTTGTCTATATACTTACGCACGTCCCTTCTCATCCCTCGGAGCTCCCCAGGATTAGGTGGCCCCAAATGGTGCAGCAGTCCCAGCAAAGCCTGCGCGAAGATTTGGTTCCGCGGCGACCGTAGTTAGTTTCCCGACCTTGTCGGTACTACTGCTGTGACCCTTTAGTTTATTTTAAAAACGCTGGTGCGCTTAGGGTCACGCATATAAAGAAGCATCCTTACCTGAAATGAATATAAGTTGTAAATATTTAATCGTAAGAGGCAGTTTAAAATGATGGAGTAAATTATTTACCTGTTGGGGGAGATGGGCCGGTCGTAGACCGCCTGGCAGTAATTTCGGCCGCTGACGATGGGTGGTGCCTCCCTCGCGACACTATGGGCACCACAGGAAGGGTGAGTGCGCTGAGGCAGCCACATCTGATGCCACTTTTCCGTCATATTTGTCCCGATTTGTTTATTTTGGTCTTGTTTACTTTTTCGTTGTTAGAGATGTTAGTATTTGTAGAGTGAGACGTCGATAGTAATCGATGTTTAATGTTGTGGAAGCTGTAGGGACATTGGGTGTACTCCGCCCTGAGGATTCCGGAGCTAGCCGGCGCCGTCCCAGGATGATGCAGTTCCATAACACCTAACGGGAAAACTGAACGCTTCTATAGTCCCCTGTTAAGTCTTGCTAGATGCCTAAGCATCGACGAATGATTAAGCGACACCGTAGAGTTCATTTTATTGCCCACTACCAAATACATGAAGTTAGGAAAATTCAACAGAAATCTATGGAATAAGGTGAAACCATAGAATCGTCCGCTTCTGGGGACCATGGTCATCAGAAAGAGAAAGGTCCACAAAGACAACTTGAAATAACTCCATTCAAAAATGTCTTTGTTTTTTTTTAATAATTTTTTATTAGTTTTAAAATTTGCAAGTCGACAATGGTCACTTATTCAAGAGCCTATTTGCTAGAAACTAAATATTGATTATGGCAGTCAAGAACTTTATGCTTTCCATTTCACTTGCAAAAAATGTATATTGTTAGCCCAAAAATTTTAGATTATGCACACTTAAAATCAGCTGGGCTTGAGGAGCCCACGATCTTATGTCCGCATCGTCTGTAAAATACTTAAATCCGCTAACATTGCACGCTTCATCATTGAATTTCCCAAAGGAAAGTTCGCTTGCAAAAAGCACTAACCATACAACATATAGACTGGTCATTTCATACAACGAATTTGGTAACAAAATTTTTCACTCGGGGGCATGATACAATAACATAAGGTAGTCTCGTCGGCTGTCTAAACGTTCGGGTTTTGGTCAGTGCGTGTTCGTCTTTCGAAGGGAAAGGTTGTCTGCGGACGAATTTTTTAAGAAATTAACCCTTGAGCAGCATGACATTTTGCAATGTGTGCCGCAAACACGTCGATGGCGTAAAGGCACCGAAATGTTTGGAAAAAAGAGCGCTGTGGGAGGAATCGCTGTGATACCTTTAAAATAACAAAGAATGTAAACGAAACTTTAATTATCGCAGCCGAAAATGTTAATATAAGTTTAGACATAAAAAAGTTTTATTTTAAGATTAGAATATATTTTAGAATTAAGAATCTTAACAAAAGACTCAGTATTCAGAGACAAAAACAACGCCTAATTTCAAATTCAAAATTATTAAAAATTAAATTATAAAAAAAATTAAACTCCTTTTATTATGAAAGGCAAAAAAAAAACCCCCTGAACCATCTAAGGGTTAATCCACACATTCTATTGTCGCTCTGCTCGCACTTACTAAACAGTTCCCATCTCACTCGCACTCATTGTTTTAATAGTAGGGTACCAAAATTTGCCGACGAGACTACCTTATGTTATTGTATCATGCTCGGGGGTCCCCAGTGCTGGAATCGGCAGGCCCATGATACAATAACATAAGGTAGTCTCGTCGGCTGTCTAAACGTTCGGGTTTTGGTCAGTGCGTGTTCGTCTTTCGAAGGGAAAGGTTGTCTGCGGACGAATTTTTTAGGAAATTAACCCTTGAGCAGCATGACATTTTGCAATGTGTGCCGCAAACACGTCGATGGCGTAAAGGCACCGAAATGTTTGGAAAAAAGAGCGCTGTGGGAGGAATCGCTGTGATACTTTTAAAATAACAAAGAATGTAAAAGAAACTTTAATAATCGCACCGAAAATATTAGTATAAGTTTTTATGTCTAAACTTATACTAACATTTTCGGCTGCGATTATTAAAGGTTCGTTTACATTCTTTGCTATTTTAAGATTAGAATATATTTTAAAATTAAGAATCTCAACAAAAGACTCAGTATTCAGAGGCAAAAACAACGCCTAATTTCAAATTCAAAATTATTAAAAATTAAATTATAAAAAAAAATTAAACTCCTTTTATTATGAAAGGCAAAAAAAAACCCCCTGAACCATCTAAGGGTTAATCCACACATTCTATTGTCGCTCTGCTCGCACTTACTAAACAGGTGCCATTTCACTCGCACTCATTGTTTTAATAGTAGGGTTCCAAAATTTGCCGACGAGACTACCTTATGTTATTGTATCATGGGCAGGCCCCGACACTTCGTGTGCCTTCGGGTTTTTTCGCTCTCGTTCTAATTCTTATTTTGACGCTCGCGCTCGAGTTCGGTCGTTCAGTCGCAGAGACGCGCATTTTGAAGAAGGTTGGCCTGCGCTTGAATTGGGCTTTGTATGTATGCGTGTTCATGCATTCTCATACAGGGGTGCATGTGTGCGATCATTTCATTTCGATGCAGCAAGAATATTTTGTCGTTTGCTACTTTTCAGACTTGGTACCCTAACAATATGGGCGTATTCACTATTGGGTTAATGATAAAAATAAGAATATTATATGTTATAGTATATTTTTAATATTTCAGCATATATTTCATCTTGGTTTACAAATTCAAATCAGTGGTAGCAAAAAAATATTTTGCATATATGTATGTATTCCAATTAATAGAAATCAATCTACTGAGATAGGAACAGGGCACATCGCAGTCGGTGTCTGCGCTTAGTGGTTCAGAAAACTTCAAACCAAATCAGCTTTGGTTGTTGTTCTGCGAGCGTATGGTGCCTGCATAGCCTACCGACGATTGAATTTTAGGGGTGGGTACAGAAACAAGAACGTTTTTTAGGACACTTGTTTTGAATGTTATGTTTAATGATAATTAATTTTATAATTTTTTTTAATATTAAAAATCATTAAAAGTTTACTTCTTGATTTAAAATAGTAATATAAATTTAAGAAAATCACTTCAAATTTTTTTTGTCTGTACTTTATAGTGGATAAACAATTTGTTATTTTCCAAGATTAAAACTATAAAATTATTATATGTACATATGTATATTTATCAAGCGGCGACTTTCAAGAATAAGCAAACATAAAAATATATATAACTAGATCATTAAATAACAACATTAAACAAAATTACACTGCGAATCAAAAAAAAAATCAACCAAAACTCATTAAACATATCATTCAAAACAAGTGTCCTAAAAAATGTAAACAAAACAAAAGCCAAACAGCCGTTCTTGTAGAAACCATCATGCAGGGCCTAAAAAAAGGCTGTTGGGTGAATATCCTTACAAAAGTCCTTCTCATCATCAACTTCGATACGTGTTGAGAAGATCTGGGGGTTGACATTGTCCTTTTATACGATCCTTACGCTTTCCTGGCCTCTCAAAGCCATGGATTAGCCAGTGTGCCCTGCATTTCGCAACTGCGTGGGTCCTTTAAAATGTAGCAAAGGACTCCGAATGGGAAAAATGGCTTCTGGGCATCCTTTCCCCAATGTTGACTTTCGATTTGCATTGATCCTGCTTATTTAATTTTAATTTTTGGACACATGCGGTTGATTTTATTTTTACCTTGTAAAGTCAAACAACTTTTCCTTTATTTTAAGGCACTAAAACAATTTTAGCTATAAAATTAATCATTATACCATTAAGATTATAGAGGCAAATGTGATAATTAAAAAAAAAGTGGCCAAATCGATAAAGTTTTAACAAAATAGTTAATTAAAACCCAAGTGTGCCAATAATTTTGTTCAGGCAAATTTGGTCCATTCTTTGGTTTTTTATTTTTAATAAATTATTTATAAAAGATAAATTAATGAAGTCACTTGTATTTAACATAAAATTAATGATTCTATCTAAAAATATTTTGTTTTATTTTAATATCAGCATATTATAAGAAGAAAAATAGCCTCAAAGTTTAACATGCTTGCTGTGCCAATAATTATGTTTGTCACTGTAGTTATTCGTAATGATGGTCATAAAAAATACATAGATTCCGAAAAGTAGGGGGCTTTTAGGAATTTTTCCCTGCTATGTTGCTAAATCTGGAGTAATAAATGTATGCACATATGTATTTATTTTAATAATTTTCAAAATCGTTTCTACATTTAAGCGCTTTAAATTTTATATTATTATATTGGTTTAAAAGCTATATTACGTATGTTTCCGTGACTGATTTAGTTGTGCTTTTTTATAGTGCGCTGCCCTCTAATCATACTTAAGGTTTGACCTATATGGGTTTTCCGTGGGCGAACTTAGCTCATAACAAGACGCCACATTCAGAGCAGGTATAGCCATGCAGTTTTTTATAAAATTACACACACTCTGAACGTATTGTTTAGGATACTTGGTATAAATCTTTACGTGTTCGGCATCTTCAAAACATACCGACGATACCTCGATGCCCTGGTCACGCCGCAGCCGAATAAACTTCTCGACATCGCGGTATGGGATGACGATGTCGCTCTTGGAGTATAAGAACAGCTGTGGGTATTTATTGGTTTCCTTCTTCAACTCGCAATATGGGCTGGGGTGGACCGGAGACGATTGCACAAATAGACTTTTAAAGGCGGAAACTGATTCCTGAAACAATGTAGATCAGTATAAGCAACGACGGTCGGTTCCTATCATATAATATTTAGCTTGGCCAACCTCTACAAACCACATTATTGTCAGGGTGATGGTGATGGCCAGTGCAGTCAAGCAGTTGCAGCGTTTTTTCCGCCCATAGATGGCCGTAATTGCGCGATACAGTCCCAGCATCCGACGCTCTCCAGGAGCCGAGTCGAAAATCACGCCGCGAACCTGAAGCGGAGACTTGTACTTAATCACAGCTAGGTTAATGTGTTGGTACAGGTAGGCTCCGCCATTCGAGAATATGTGAAATATTAGGGGGTGGGAATCGAAATTCATATCCTGAATTAGCTTGAGGATTTTCTCTCCGATTGGAACCATTTCAGTTCGCTTCCAAAACAGTGTATCTACTGGTGCAGTATATCGGACAGTTATAAGACTAGAAATATCGAGTCGTGACGAATAAATTTATTGGTGTATCGACTTTCACATTTAACTTACCCCTTATCCTCATAGATTTTTGAGTATTTCATCAGGTATCGATCTTGGCAGCCCGCCCATCCCAGCAGCATTACGATGGGAACGTTGTTGTCCTCGCTGTCGTTGGTGTTGACCAGTGCAAAATCGTTTTCTGAGGAGGGCTTAGGGAACTTTATAAAGTACTCCAAAGAGTCCTTTCGCTCTGGTCGTAGGGGCCTGGGTGACGACCGACGCCCACTGGTGTGTATTGTGGCCGTAGCTGGTTCTTGCTGGTTGGCTATGTCGTCCGCTTTTAGCCCATAAGGATGCGATGGCGAAGACGACATCTTGACATGTTAATTGTAGAGCTATATAAGGAGAATGTTGAATTTGAATTTTTCGTTTTATTTTGTCAGACAAAGACTACTGCCAGAATACGGTAAATGATTTATTGATTTTGTCAGCTGTTTCCGATTTCGAATGTAAACGGTTGCTGCAGTCCATTTAAGCTGCTTGCTTCAGCCCATTGATTTTCTTACGCAGCACAGAGCCTCAACCGACAATGACTTTCCTTCACTGGCCAAGTGCTCCAGCTGCAATGCCTGGCGACAGCAACATGCTGCATTCCAGTAAAACAACCCGTTGTGGTTGCCGCTTCCAGCCGCATGTGCTCGCCAGTTGGTGGGTCATGCGCATTAATTTTATTTGCCTTTACTATAACTTTCTTAAAAAAAAAAAAGCCACACAAAACATTCACCACTTAATATTTAACGCCGTATTAAGCTTCTCCACAGCATGGTAACTGGTGTGAAGCAGCTCATAACATTTTTCAGTGTGAAAGCCGTCTAAAAACTCTCTATATATGTGTTTTGTTAAGGCGTTTTCGGGTTGGGACCGCGGAAGCTTCTCGTACAAATTCTCCAATTGCTTTGTTAGCTCGCGGACGTGTTGCCCGGTGGTGGGGCGCACCTGTGCACCACCATTTATGCAGCCTGAGGGACACGCCATGACCTCCACAAAATGGTAGTTCGCCCCTTTTCCCCGCTTCAATTTCTGTACTACGTTTTGTATGTTCCGAAAGCCATTGACAATAGCAAACTTTAAGACGGCCTCGCCATTCTTTTCAAGAATAATCTCCCGAAAGTCGCGATTTTTGAGCTGTTTGAATTCTAACTCTTTTGGCGTTGTCTCATTAAAAAGCTGATGAGCAACGAACTTGAATATGTGTTCTGCATAACCGCCAGACAAAGTCGTCTCGTGGGCCCACACCATGGAGTCTGGCCTTATATCAGACCAGGGCCAGTCCATATTATCGAGATCGTATTGCGACAGAGTGCGCTCTTCCTCGGTCAGCATCTGTTCCACCTCGACTGCAAAAAGAAGGTATATTGATCACAAGACAAATCATGATTGAATAACAACCTGCTGTGATTACACAGTCCACGTCCCGTGAGTTGTTCTTTTCGTTAAAGAAGTCCTCTCGGGAGGCCTCAAGCTTCTTGTCGTAACAGGGCATCACGGTCACATGGTAGATGCGCGATCCAGGAATATTAAGCTTCTCGGCCAGGAACTGCTTCACCAGCACCCCCATTATTTGTTGGGGCGAACGGGTAGTTGCAACGTAAGGCAGTATGAAGTTCCCGTGCGTTTTCTCCGCGTAACACACCCAGCCCGGGCAAGAGGAGCTTAGCATGGTTAGGTTTGCATTGTCACGGTACCGTTCTAAAAATTCTTCTCGACACTCTAGCAGCGCCAAATCGTCCGCTACTTTGGTGCACAGAACATAGTCGGCTCCCAAGCTGCGAAAGTAGCCTGTTAGATGGCGTGCAGCATCCTCCACACAGATTTGATAGCGATGGGCTAGGCTCAGCAAAGGCTGGATAGCCACGGTGAACACGATGGTAAGCACGTTCTCGCAGTCCCCGGTAACCTTTTTTTTAGAGTTCTCGCGCAGGACCCTAAGAAGCTCTTCCTGGCTCTGCTGTGTGATGAGTACGCCTTCTGCGGAAGTGATGCACCCTGAGCAAGCCAGGCAGTCTTGAAGAGTGATTTCCACCTTCTCAAGTTTTTGCTTTCCACTCTACAAAAGGACTTCTAATTATAAAATAATAATTTAAAGTAGGGTGAATTGTACACCCACCTCAGATTCCTCATAACAGCTATCTCCCTCAACAGTGATTTTGGCCCCAGTCTTCGACTTCACCTTATTTATGGGCACGGGTTTAATGCATTCCTGAGGGTCAAATAAATTTCTTTATATTTATACAAGTTCGTATTCTGTTGTAATGAACCTGTGAAGGCGTAATAAAATCGTCTATATCGGTGAGCTGTAAGGCACCACTAAACCTAGACATGGCTTAGAAACACAGTTTATCCCCTCCGGAGTTATTAAATGAATGTGGTGGCACAAATATCAAACTATCAATATATTAATATTATACAAATATTTTGAAATATCGATGTTTTTTGATATAATACCCTTTTCACGCCAGCATACAGTATTTATTGCAATGAAGCTTAATACGCTCCTCACACAGCCGCTTTTCAGAGTTGTTACAAAAGCTGATCGCCATACAAAATGTAAACATACCGAATATGTAGAAGAAAAAGTGATTTCCTTATAACGCAACACATAATACAAATGTTTAAACCTAGTACTCAGATCAACGAAAACCATACCCAGTCATAAGAGAGAGCGAGAGGCAAACAGCTGGCGTTCACTTTTCGTCGTGCCTTTTTTTCACGTCGGTACTCAGATCGACGTAGAAAATACCAGAAAATTCCATAGCGTTGCCAGTCTGCGGAAATGAACTTTGGGTGAACCCTAGCGAAAAGATTAAAAAATTTAATCTTTTGGCGTGCGCTTCTCACTGAACATTATAAGAAATGGAGGGAAAAGCTTAAAAAAACTTGCTAAAGTCGATTGCAGGAGTTTACATGTGAGGACAAAATAACATTATTACTATCTGGGGTGCCTCTTGTCAGAGCAAAATGTTTTTTAGGTCCAGAATGTACGAAAAAACACAATAAAAGTGCAGCTATGAACTTTAAATTAGCAAATAATTATCAGTAAATTATAAAAAAACAACTGTTAAATTTAAATTGTATTGTTTTTCAATTTCTTTGTACAGCGGCAGATTTGTCTTGCCAAGGTATTTCATAATATCTTTTAAAGGCTCTTTCCCGCAAATACGATATTTGAATTTTAACTGCTTGTCAACAAGCCCAGCTGATTGACAGTACGACCGTAGCACGCTTAAATCTGATGAACTCGCAAAATTTTGGTCACACTCGAAAGATTAAAGTTTTTACGCTAGCGTAATCGTTTGTCGATCTGGATACTAGGCTATACCATCTGGGGTGCCTCTTGTCAAAGCAAAATGTTTCTTAGGTCAAAAATGTACGATAAAATACAATAAAAGTGCAGCTATGAACTTTAAATTAGCAAATAATTATCAGTAAATCAAAAAAAAACACTGTTAAATTCAAGTTTTATTGTTGTTAAATTTCTTACTACAGCGTCAGACTTGTCTTGCCAACGTAGTTGATAATATCTTTTAAAGGCTCTTACCCCCAATACGATTTTTGAATTTTAACTGCTTGTCAACAAACCCAGCTGTCTGACAGTATGACCGTGGCACGCTTCATTCTGAAAAATTTGGTCACACTGGAAAGATTTAAGTTTTTACGCTAGCGTACTCGTTTGTCGATCTGAGTACTAAGCTTTAACTGCTTCTCAACAACCCCAGCTGATTCGCAGTACGACCGTAGCTCGCTTAAATCTGATGAACTCTCGAAATTTTGGTCACACTGGAAAGATTAAAGTTTTTACGCTAGCGTACTCGATCTGAGTACTAGGCTTTATGGCGAACACCTTTCGTCAGGACCTTTTTTCACCCCGGTTCTGAAATCGACGAAAAAAATACCAACAAAAAAGTGTTTACCAGCAGACCACCCCTAACGTTTTCCGTTTTTGTATAAGCCTAGTATCCAGATCGACAAACGATTACGCTAGCGTAAAAACTTTAATCTTTCCAGTGTGACCAAAAGTTTGAGAGTTCATCAGAGTTAAGCGTGCTACGGTCGTACTGTCAATCAGCTGGGTTTGTTGACAAGCAGTTAAAATTCAAATATCGTATTTGCGGGAAAGAGCCTTCAAAAGATATTATCAAATACCTTGGCAAGACAAGTCTACCGCTGTACAAAGAAATTAAAAAACAATACAATTTAAAATTAACAGTTCTTTTTTTAATTTACTGATAATTATTTGCTAATTTAAAGTTCATAGCTGCACTTTTATTGTGTTTTTTCGTACATTCTGGACCTAAAAAACATTTTGCTCTGACAAGAGGCACCCCAGATAGTATTAATGTTATTTTGTCCTCACATGTAAACACCTGCAATCGACTTTTGTGAGTTTTTTGAGTTTTTCCCTCCATTTCTTATAATGTTCAGTGAGAAGCGCACGCCAAAAGATTAAATTTTTTAATCTTTTCGCTAGGGTTCACCCAAAGTTTATTTCCGCAGACTGGCAACGCTATGGAATTTTCTGGTATTTTTTTCGTCGATCAGGAGACCGAAGTGAAAAAAAGGCCCGACGAAAAGTGAACGCCAGCTGTTTGCCTCTCGCTCTCTCTCATGACTGGCGCACGGTTTACGTCGAAGTGGATACTAGGCTATAAAGCCTAGTATTCAGATCGACGATTACGCTAGCGTAAAAACTTTAATCTTTCCAGTGTGACCAAAGTTTCCGTACTGTCAATCAGCTGTCGACAAGCAGTTAAAATTCAAATATCGTATTTGCGGGAAGGATAATATTAAATACCTTGGCAAGACAAGTCTGCCGCTGTACAACGATATTAAGAAACAAAACAATTTAAATTTAACAGTAGTTTTTTTAATGTACTGACAATTATTTGCTAATTTAAAGTTCATAGCTGCACTTTTATTGTGTTTTTTCGTACATTCTGCACCTAAAGCCTAGTATCCAGATCGACAAACGATTACGCTAGCGTAAAAACTTTAATCTTTCGAGTGTGACCAAAATTTTGCGAGTTCATCAGATTTAAGCGTGCTACGGTCGTACTGTCAATCAGCTGGGCTTGTTGACAAGCAGTTAAAATTCAAATATCGTATTTGCGGGAAAGAGCCTTTAAAAGATATTATCAAATACCTTGGCAAGACAAGTCTGCCGCTGTACAAAGAAATTGAAAAACAATACAATTTAAATTTAACAGTTGTTTTTTTTTAATTTACTGATAATTATTTGCTAATTTAAAGTTCATAGCTGCACTTTTATTGTGTTTTATCGTACATTCTGGACCTAAAAAACATTTTGCTCTGACAAGAGGCACCCCAGATAGTATTAATGTTATTTTGTCCTCACATGTAAACTCCTGCAATCGACTTTAGCGAGTTTTTTGAGCTTTTCCCTCCATTTCTTATAATGTTCAGTGAGAAGCGCACGCCAAAAGATAAAATTTTTTAATCTTTTCGCTAGGGTTCACCCAAAGCTAATTTCCGCAGACTGGCAACGCTATGGAATTTTCTGGTATTTTTTCGTCGATCAGGGGACCGACGTGAAAAAAAGGCCCGACGAAAAGTGAACGATAGCTGTTTGCCTCTCGCTCTCTCTCATGACTGGCGTACGGTTTTCGTCGATCTGGATACTAGGCTTAAAAAACATTTTGCTCTGACAAGAGCCACCCCAGATAGTATTAATGTTATTTTGTCCTCACTTGTAAACACCTGCAATCGACTTTTGTGAGTTTTTTGAGTTTTTCCCTCCATTTCTTATAATGTTCAGTGAGAAGCGCACGCCAAAAGATTAAATTTTTTAATCTTTTCGCTAGGGTTCGCCCAAAGTTCATTTCCGCAGAGTGGCAACGCTATGGAATTTTCTGGTATTTTTTTCGTCGATCAGGGGACCGACGTGAAAAAAAGCTATTTGCCTCTCGCTCTCTCTCATGACTGGCGTACGGTTTTCGTCGATCTGGATACTAGGCTTACAATGTCCGGAAATAGGGTCAATCGTCCCAGCAATTGTAAAATTACATATGTACTTAATTTATTTTATAAATCAAATGTCAATACCTTCGACTACATTAATGGAATCTGGGAATAAGAAAAATAAATAAATAAATGTTTAAAATGAATGAGGCTTGTTCATTAAAATAAATGTATTTAAATAGCACATATATAAATCTATTTATTAAAATTATTTTTACTTAAGGTTAATTCGGTGCAAAATCGTTATCTTTTTTAAGAATTTTTATTGGCGATACGGATAGTCTCAGCTCAATTTTGGTTTTTGCATGTGATAGGGCAACATTTAAACAAAATTGTGTGTTTTCATCCAAAAATATTAAAAATTGAGTGAGATATGTACATTCAACCTCCGGCAACGCCTCGAAGAAAACACGTTTCGCGGTGTACATGATAACTGGTCACAAAATCATCTGATTTAAAAAAAATCAAATTGCATTAGTTAAAAGACAAGATTCCTGTCGAATTGTTATTTTTTTTCGATTTTTTAAGGCACCTGAAAGTTAAAAACCCCGATTTTCGCCCAAAACGTCGACATCGTTGTTGCTCTAAAAATAATAAATTTTCAAAAAAAAAAACCCCACAGCGTTACCTGAGGAATTTAGTAGAGAAATACTGTGCAAAATTTCAAAACGATCGTGTACACCGACTTTGAAATGGCCACTTTTCAGGAGATCGTATTAAAGTTTTGGACACCCAAAAATCGAATACAAAACGAGCTAACTTTCCTACGTTCAACTGCCCATAAGTTCGAAAGCTTTACTCGGATGGATCTAAAACTTTAAAAGAATATTCTTAAGATGTTGTGCATTCAAAAAAAAATATAGAAAAAAAAAATTTTAATACTATACCCCCCTTTAATATATGATATACATTTATAGATGGCCCACTGTCTGAACTGCAAATTTGGAAGTCACCTTTTGACTTTGTCCTGGAAGCTCCGTCATCCCTTTCACAGTTGCTATTTGCTCTGAGGAAGCTTTTACCTCGATTTTGAGCTGGGTATATTTTTGTCCAGCTAAATAAAAATATAACATATATTAATGCTTATTTTATTAAGGGATCATTAAAACAGACTCATACCTTTTAAAGAATAAACATCATCGGAAAATTTTTTGTTTCGGCAGCAAAAAAAAAAATGTAATAAGCTGGAATTAAATAATAAATAAAACACTCGCCTCGTGAGATACGAACTCGTTCTGTAAATTGGAAAGCTGGAAAGATTCCCCACATTTGGAGCTGGATTTCTTATATAATTTAATAAGTTTCGTAGATCGGCTGCTGGTCCCTCGCTGCTGTCCCGTAGTGATTGTGAATTGCGCACGGCGGCTGCTGGTCCCACGCTGCTGTCTCGTATTACAAGGGCGGATGTC